TATATATATATAATTGATTTCTTTTATGGTTCTTTGATGGTTTTTATTTTGAAAAAGACCCCTCGAGGATGAATATGAAGTTGAAGAAGGTGAAGAACATTCAAATTTTAATTCCGCAATTCCCGCAACGTAAGAGTTCAGGCTTAATTCATTACAATATTTTTATATTTTTATTTATCAACTATACAATATATTAAGTATAACAACCCAATTTTAAAAATTAACATTCAAACACCCAAAACTTTCTTTTTTTTATTGCAACTATCCTCCATTACCCATTCATCGAAGATTTTGGGTGGCTTAAATGTAAATTTTTACATTTAGCTTGTTATTATTTCATATTTATTATTTTGAGCAATTGACATATAAATCCCTCTTCTTTTTTTTTTTTTGCGTGGTTCTTAAAGTATATTATTTTAAAAAAATTCAGGGGTTGGGGCTCGGAGGATGAAAATGAGATTGCTGAATTTCAGGAACATGTTGATAACAATGATAGGTATGCTATTGAAACTAAATTAATGAAAGTGATGATCAATCATTTAATATTTTAGTAAGAGAACGTTTTTTTCCTTTTAAATTTACTATTATAATGATGGTTCCGAATTTTATACGCATGTTGATATTTTTCAATGCTTTAATGTTTTATTTAGCTTATTTCTTCTAGGTTAAATGAAGATTATTTTGTAAGATTCTCTTTTAATTTTATAGCTTTGTTGAGATATATGAAAATTATATCTTAGGCTTAGTTTTCTCACTTCGTTGATTTCTTTCTAGTTTTTGGGTGTGAATGTAAACAAATTGTTCGATTAAGGTCATGAAGTAAAAAAATTGAATTATTGTTTGTTGGTCATTTAACCTATTATATGTTGAATGTTTAGGTTTGAATTTTTGCATAAACGAAGAGTTTCTAATTATAATTTTATTAAATAACTTGCATACTATTTTTAATTTAATCTGCCATAAGGTGTATGTTTCTCTGGTAATTAAGTTTTTCTTTTAGTTAATATGATTGCTTGTATTATTTTCTCCATCATCCCGTTTTGCTTAATAATTTATTAATTTGGACAATTATGAGATGTTTAGTTAAAGAGTAATTGTGATTTTTTTTTCCTCTGTTGTGGCTTAACAATTTATTTTAATTATTTGTAAGTGATATCTGATTTGTTATTATATAAATAACAGTTATAAATAGTAAGTTGAATTTTAAAATTAGTAATTAATCTAGAAAATGAGTGGATTTTATCTCATAATTAGATTTGAAGCAATAAGATGTTTTTATTCTATTTATTTACGTTGAGCCACTTAAGCAATTAGTGCATGAAATTATTAATTAAATTTCTATTATTCTTCTTTTTGAAATGTTTTGTTCAACTTAAGTGGTTGCAGGTTAGAATTTAGTGCTCGAATTGATGAAGATTCTGATTGGAAAGAAGAAGAAGAATTTCATGAAACAAATTTACCTGCAATATGCTTAGTGTTTTATGGTTACTTTCATGAGGTAAACAAACTACTACACGAATATTATTCTTTTTTCAAATAATAACATGCATTATTTTATATGCAGGCAAAGATACAAGCTTCCAGTCGTGACAAATGGTTATTAGTGCATGTGCAACAAAGAGAGCAGTTTAACTCGCATCTGGTAGTCATCATAAAAAATAGTGATATCTCTTTTTCAATTTTTCAATGTTAACAAATAGTTTCATATATTTTCATTTCTAACACTACATATTTACACGCATAGTACTCGAATCTACCACTTCACATCCAAAATATTGCTATTTCTAACTTTCTAAAAGTGAGATGTCTTTTTGCATGCATAGATTCATGAAACCGATGTGTGGTGTGTTGAATGTAAATATAGAAGTTTAAATTATTAGAATTGAAAATGCCACCGTTTAAATTATTAGAATTGTAAATATAGAAGTTTAAATGTAGATGTGTGGCATTGTTTTAATTGTTGCATTGTGCAGCTAAAGAGAGAGCCATGGTCAAATGCCACCGTTCAAGAGCAATTAAGTTCACATTTTGTATTTTGGGAGGTATGTAATTGTATTGTTTTTGTAGCAAGCTACCATTAGTTTCTACAACAATGTATTTTAAAATTTTTTTATTATATTATTAACATTTTTGGACTGAAATATATAATATTAATTCCTTTATTTGTATAATGTTTATATTTAGACTTATCACAAAGACATAGAGGGACAAAAAATATGTTGTTTTTACAAGGTGGAGACATTGCCTGCAATTATGGTCATTGATCCCATAACAGGTGCAAAAATGTATGTTTGTCATGAAATGAAACAACCAGAGAACTTATTAGAGGTAAAGTTAAATTTTTGATGATTTTTACCTCAAAAAATTATATATATTAAATGAGATTTTATATAAATTAGTTCATTTTCTTGTTTTTTTATAGTATTTGATGTAATTCTCAGTTATTTACAATTATTTTTGATTAATAGGATTTTACTCCATCTGTTTTAACTTAACTAAAGTGAATTATTGGATTATTTGATAATTTATGATTTGTAAATCCTCAAATTTTATTTGCATGAAAAAGTGTTTCACAACATATCAGTTGTATTAAAAAATGATCACTTTCTTTTATTCAGGATTTGATGAGGTTTTATGATAGAAGTCCAAAACAACATGTTGCTGAGAGCATACGAAGAAAAGATGATAATGCTTCATCTGACCAAATAGGTTTGCTAAAAATATGCATGTTATTTTTGCTTTTGATGAATTTTTATATGACAACTCGTAATATCTCAATTTATTTTATTTATAGCTTGTTTTTTCTCATTGGCAATTTTAACCCAATAGAAATAATTTTTATCCTTATTTTTTTCTTGCCGAGTGATGCTTCTGCCAATTTTTTTAACTAGCTAAACTCCCACAACTATTTAGTAAAACTTAGCTAAGAACTATGAGTGTCAAATTAAGTTTACACATTGGGTTCTATTCTAATCCAAAAATTCTTGACTCGACCCAAAACTATTTGACCTTAACCCAATCATAAATTAAACGAGACAGAATGATTAAAATGAATCCGTATTCAACCTGTTGACTCGAACCCGCCCGTATAACCCGTTAAATACAGCACACAATTTTTATATCAGATCAAATTTGGGTTGATTTCAAGTCAGTCTCGAGTCAATTTCGGGTTCACATATTGATTTTGAGTTAAGTTCGAGCTAGCGGTCAATTTTAGGTTATTTTCGGGCTGTTGGTCAACCCAAATCCAACCCAAAAAATAGACGTATTAGGATTCATAACCCGAACATAACTCAAAAATTATTTGAGTTACATGAACCTTAATTTTTTTAGTTTAGTTCAGGTCGAGTTGACTTGTCAGGATCAATTTTTGACACCCTATAGTGCAATTTTAAGTATTATTTTTTTTATTTTGGTTGACTAACATAAATTTATTTTGAAGGAAATTTACTTTATAATAAGCATTTTAATGATTTCCAAATTTGTGTTTTTTTAGTAGAAAATGAAGTAGCACAACCTAAGGAAACCAGTCCTGCAGTGATAACAAAACCAAGTTATCTCCCTCTTCCTGAAGAGCCTCCAGACGGAAAGCTCATTTGTCGAGTAGGAATATGCTTTCCTAACAGCCAAAGAGTGCGGAGGAGCTTCCTTAAAACTGATCCAACAAAGGTAAAGTCTCCCATCAAATAATTAATAATAAAGGCATTTACAAACATAGCACACATTTCTTATGCATTTACATCTCTCACGCCAAAAGTTTCATATTTACACACATAGCACTCTAATCTTTAATATCACATGAAAATAGCACTACTATCACCTATTAAAAGTGAAATACACATTTTCTTGCATATGAAAGCACCAAAGTCCTATAGGGGGTTGGTTTGGGTTTACCCGAAACTAACCCGACAGTATAGGTCGTCTATTTGACCCGAATAGTTTTTGTGTAAAAAATGCAAGCTTGAACTTGACCCACCTTCAACCTGTCAACCCGTATCTGAATCATATTACTCATTTAATTTCGATTCAATTCCAGGTTGGCGGGTTAACTCGAACTTGACTTGAAAATTAAACATGTTAGATTTTTTAACTGAACATGACCTGAAAATTATTAAGATCAACCATAACTCAAATTTTTTGAGTCAGGTTTGAGTCTAGTTGACATGTCAGGTCAATTTTTGACACAAGTGCTACGTATGAAACTATTAATGTTTTGGTGTGAGACATGTAAATGCATAAGAAATGTGTGCTACATTTGTAAATTTCTCATAATGATAAAAATGTTCATTTAAGACAATGCATTTATAAATTTATGCTTTTTGTTTTTATGCAGTTGTTATGGTCTTTCTGTTCAACTTTGCTGGAGGAAGAAGAATCTCAGAGTTTCCATTTCATAGTTCCCAACTCTCCCAATTTATTTTATGATAATGATGCAACCTTTGAGGAGGCTGCTTTATCTAACACCCTTTTAAGACTTAGCCTGGATAGAGTTAATTAGCTAAATGTTATTAGCATTTAGTTTTTAAACTTTTTTGAAAGAGTTTATAGTTTGTACGTCATTTAGAGGACAAAAGATGAATGACAATGCATTACATAGTTAATTATTTACAATTGATATTTATTTTTTAAATTTTTAAGTCAAGCGTTTTTATTAAAGTGTGACAAAATTTATTCACTAAAGTCTAATTTACTAGTTACTGTTTTATTATTATTATTATTATTATTATTATTATTATTATTATTATTATTATTATTATTATTAATTTATTTATTTTTGCTAGTGCTATGTAAAAAAAAAAGAGGACTGACAAAGTATTTTTTTTTTTCAGTTGGATTACAACATGAATCGACTTTAAGCCCATATCATTTTGTTTTAGTTATGAATGGTCTTACTAGACAGCCATAGGAGGATGTATCTAGGTGTATGTCTTTCACTAATGATATACTTATTGTGGATAATATTATCTTTTTATTCAGAAAAAAACGTGAATTATAGGTATTAACGTTTGAGTCTAAATGCTTTCATTTGAGCCGATCTAAAATCGAGTATGTGGAATATAATTTTAATATCAGTAGATCTAGTGGTGGGATTATAATAATGAATGATAAAATTATCAACATGAGTGCATGTTTTAGATATCTTGAGTATATTGTTCAAAGCAATGATGATAAAGATAGAGATGCTATTTGTAGAATTTAAGTTGGATGGTTGAAGTGAAGGAATGTATTAGGATTATTGTGTGATAGAAAAATACTTTAAAAAAAATTTATGAGAACGTGATGAGACCTACCATGTTTTATGGTGCAGAATGTTGGCCTGAAAAATAGAAGCACAAAGTTAAGTGTTAATGAGATAAGAATGCTAAGGTGGATGAGTGGCTTTACATTTAGAGAAAAAATGTAAAACAAACATATACGTGAAAGGATTGGAGTAGCTCGAACTACATATAAGATTATAGAGAGCTGCCTTAGATGGTTTGTTCACATTAAACGTCAACCATTGGAGAGTAGATGTTTTAGATTTGACATATGTTAAGAAAGGTAAAGGTAGACATAAAAATATTTGGGCATGTTGTATAAAAATGATCTTAATTTAATAGAATTAAATAAAAAAACGACACTTATAGGACACAATAGAAAAAAAATAATTCAAAAAAAATGACACTTATAGGACACAATAGAAAAAAAATAATTCATATAGCCAATCACACATAGTGAGATAAAGGCTTATTGTTGTAGTATTGCTAAGTTCTGATAGCATGCATGCATGCAATCATTGCAGTTTTATTTTACTTCTTTTAGTAATATTGTATTTGTATCGGATTGCTCTTTCTAAAATGGATGTTGTTTATCTAAGGGAGCGTGGGTTCAATCAGTACAAAATTTAAGTTTGTTATATTAGAAATTAATTTTGTCTTTTTATTATTTTTATTCTATAAATGAGAATTAATTATATAATTTTTTACACCAATATAATTTTAAATCATTGTATATAATGTCACATGCATTCATAATCTCTCAGGTGAGAATTATATGTTAGTTATTGTACTTCTAAAATTAAAAATTATTTAACATCATCATAATATCATGCATCTATATCTACTCAATATCAAAGAATTTAAATGAGAGTTGCTCACTCATTATTAATTTTGTTTGAGCTAAAAGTCGAATAAATTTGTGATTAATGCTATATAAATTTAAGCCTAAAAATTAATCGCATGAGTGAGGATATGTAATTTCAAGCTAATATTTTTCAAATAATTAATATTAGAAAATAATATTCTAACATGCATAAACAATTTTAATAAAGAAAAAAAAAAGGTAAAATGTACATAAAATATGTAAATTCTTACTAAAAAATATTACTATTTCTAAAAAGGTTATTGTGTTAAGAAATGGTAAAATGTTGATTTTGTTTACAATTAAAATAATTTCAACCACTTATATATTTAAACCCTTTTGATGCTAAAGTCTATAGTTTAGTCTTTTATTGGATAGTTGAAAAATAAATTAGCATAGAAATACAAAATGGCTTACCTTTATTCATAGATCCAATATTTCAATTAAAATTAATTTCAACCACTTATATATTTAAACCCTTTTGATTTTGTCTACACTCCAAAACAATTTTTATATTTTTAATAAATATTTTATCAAATAAATTTATTTTAATCATTTATTATTAGTTCGCGAGAATAGCCTTAAGAAAAGGGCAATATTTGGAAGGTAGAGAGAAGGTAAAATGTAATTGAAATTTCAACTCAAATTTTTAAAATTTTTTTAATATCGCTTATGCTACGAGTTGTGTAGATAAATTCATTGTGAGTTTGATAGTATTTCAAGGGTTATTTGAGTGAAAATGGAAGTTTATGCTTTGTGAAATACTCAATTTTCTTTGATAAAAAAAGCTGAAGAGCTCCAATTAAAATGCTTGTGATGCTATTTAACAAATGTAGTGATATTGGATTAGTTTTATGTTTCTATAAAGTTATGGCTCTCTTGCTCCTCAGTCATAACTTGTGGACAATAGGACTTGCGCCTTTTGGAAGGGGTATATCCAAATTTTTGGGAGGTTGTAAGAGAATAATAAATAAGAGAAATAAGATAATTTTATGGTTTGCAAACCTCAACAATGGTTGTTTTTTAAATCAATCCAATATCTGACTGCATCAACTCTTTGTAAAAACAATTTTTTATAAGAAATCTCTTTTGATTTTTTTTTTAAACTCAGAGTTGCTAGCTTATCCGATTACCATCTTATAATTCTCTTATACAAATAGCCCTCTTTCCGTGATCATCAAAATGATTCAGAGAAACAAAGGGATTTGAAAGAAAGAAAGTGAAACGAAACAAGACAAACAAATTAAAAAGAACATGAAAAACTTAAAAAGGTTATATTCATGTGATAGATCAAGACTGTATGTCCAAAATGAAATCATATCAAGACACCTTTAAATACATATCCACAAAGAAGCCCTCTCCATAAGCTAGAACCAAAATTATATTTTGTTATGGGGTCAAGAGTAACTCCCAAAGAATGTACCATTTGATTAATTACATCTTGGGGAATTATCGAGAATACTTTCGATTAAAGGAGTCTTGCTTACATTTTTGTGGTAATTAGTGATGGATATGCCGAGGATTTTGTCATCTCACATAGAATTATCTCGATGCTTTCAAATCTATACCAGACCATATGATAAAGGGTGAATCAAATTATTCACTACAGACGGCTGTCTGTCGGCATCGAGGCCTATAAAATGACATCAACAATGTGTCAAGGAAATAGAAGTGGCTCCAATGAGGTATATCAATGAAACTATGAAGGAATCCTAAGTTGGTAGAGATAGTCGGGTTAAGATTCTATTGATCTGTCATCCAAAACTATTAAAAATCTAAGTCTACCTAGTCGTGAAGGTGGTGGACTCAACCTAACTAGGGACCTGTTTTCAGCAGCCCATGAATTGTGTCGCCTAAGGAATTTCAGTAGTCCTAAAATCAAAAGAAAGAAACATCTTTATTCCTATGACCTTATATAGGTTGAATTCATAGAAGTGGGATTTATACACACCGGGAAAGTTGCGAGAATGCCTTTCAAATGAAGAGAAAGGAGGGGTCTACCTATAAAGCCGAACCACCTCACACAGAACTTAATAAGGAAATTGTTTAGAATTTCTAAAGGAGGGGTTCATCACAAGTTCTTTAGGATAGTCAACAGGAAAGTCCTATGGCTAGATCCTTAGGCTTATAGAGAGGAGAAACTCATATATCACCAAAAATGAGGTCTACAACAGCCAAACTAAGGTCACCAGATTCGTAGACTAAATATTTTTCAACTAAAACAGTTGATGAGACTTTTCTCATGAGATCGATACGCTGTACTCTTTAATTACATTATTGCTTGACACATATACTTGAGTTGTGCAATCGACTTACTTCATGATAAGTTTTGTCACATCATTATACGAACAATTAAAAAAGAGCTACAAGCCAAATCAACCACGACCTACAAATAATAAAAAGGAAATAACTACAAATCAAAATTTGAGTATGGTTGGAGGAAACTAAATCACACAAGGATGAGCTCTAATGAATTTTCTAGCAACACATTTCATATCAACTAACTTTCGAATGATTAATATCTTGCCTACTGAGTAAATTTTGCTATTGAGAATGAAGAATGGGAACTACGATTTTTTTCATTGAAATAATAACACCCAATTGAACATAAACGAATTGGCTCAGTTTTCTTTTTCCTTTTTTATTTTTCCCTTTCATAAACAAACTGGCCCTTCATATTCAAAACAATATCTCTGAATGAAAACTAATCCAATAAAATTTATTCTGCTCATGCATTTTACCAGTAAAATTTATTGCAATAAATTTTAATGTTATTTATTAAACAAGCTTAAAAACTATTAAAATTATCCTCGCATTTGCACTTTCAACGATATAATAAATACTTGCTCCTGTTTTTGCCATTTTTCATAATGCAATTCTTAGCAGCACAAATAAAACCAGTCCAACGCATAAATAATGCTATATATCTATATATATATATATATATATATATATATATAGATATAAAATCCAAATATCAATAGGAATAACCTTTACAGGGGAGCAGAAAAATGAAAATTTACCTGGAACAGGAATATACAGTACAGTTAAAAAACAGAGAAAAATACATACAAAAATTTCTTTAGATTTTACTTCTGCATAGTTTGAATTTTAATGTAACATGAGAGCTAAAAATATATAATATAAAGGAGAGCTAATAAGGTCAGATACCAGTATTGGGATTGTTTCCAGCGAGAATAAGGGAAATCTCCAAACCTCTGCTGAAGGCCTGGTTGAACAGAAGCCGAGTTTGGAAGGTAGACACGAATGGGAACCAAGATAAAAATGCAACAGGAATGAAAATGAACATTCCCATCCCAGCATCATAAAGCCTCGCGAGGGAGCGCAGAGATTTCCACAACCGCAGCTTCTTCATCACCGGCTTCCACGCAACAGCTATCTGTTTTACGCGATATGAAATTTATACATGTGAGCGTATGAAGAAGAAATAGAAGGAAATAATAATGTATTAGACATAGACAGACTTCTGGCAATTTTATGATTTGCATTACAAATGACATTGATCAATGGTATATTGGCAAAATTGACAAATTTCTCTCGAATAAGGCTAAAATGTTCAAGTCACTTAAGTACTGCAATACTTTTGTCGAATACAAGCTTACAAACACATACTAATAAAAATATGAATCCTCCCTCTCTATGCCCTATGGTAATGATCCTCTAGCTTTACGACCTTTACCATAATGATATTGTCCATAGATCAAAATTTTATAGATTGGATTTCACTTAACTATCTACGGCTCGATTGCGTGTGCTTGAATGAGTAAGCATACGGGTACCATACAGCGTCATTTTAAAATTTACAAAAATAAATATAGATGTTTAAGAGAATAATAATGACATGCAAGAGTTTGACGGGTCGGTGTAGCCCAAGTGACGGACAAAAATAGAAAAAGTCGTCTTAGATGGTTTGGTTCACATTAAACGTCAACCATCTGATGATCCGATTAGGAGAGTAGATGTTTTAGATTCAACTTATGTTAAGAAAGGCAGAGGTAGACCTAGGAAGGCTTTGTATAAAAAATGATCTAAATTTATTAGAACTAAATGAAAATATGACACTAGATAGGACGCAATGGAGAAAAAGGATTCATGTAGCCGACCCCACGTGGTGGGATAAAGGCTTTGTTGTCGTTGTTGATTAGTTTGACGGGTCTAGGGTTTAAGATGGTTAAAAAAGGAAACTCACCGAAAGAATTGCCCATCCAGTAGGTATAAATGCTAAGATGCAAGCAAAGATATCTGGCAACGAGAGTTTTGTAAGCACAACAGCAGCAGCGAGACCAGCTAACACCAGCATGAATGAGATGCTCTGAATAAGGCGCAGCAGCAATTGGAAATTGACTGATGCCTTCTGGCTAAACGTGAAAACCTGAGGATAACATGAGATGCAGTCACATAACCTAAAATTCACATCATGGAAACCAAACAATTTTCCCTTAATTAGTAAAGATTTAAATACCTGAAAAAGAATGAATAACACTGCCAGCACGATCCACGAGAGTCCATAAACCTGCAGAAATAGTATTTAGTTCATGACAGTTCAAATAATACATTTAATCATTTTCTTGAAATTATTTGAGCAACCGCCGAAATAAAAACATTATTTTGAATTATAAAAATAAAGATGATCACACGTTTGACAGTATTTACAAAAATAACTTGCAATCGGAGTGCAAATTAATATGATAAAATATGTTATTTGTGATTGAAATATAGTAGTGTTACAGGGTAAAGAGAAATACAAAATCTAAAGGAAAATGCTAAGCAGAGTGATGACATGTGCTTTGGATAGAAATTACAGGCAAGGCCCCAGACAAAGTAGCAAATGCTTTAATCTATCGTAACATTAGTGGACAAAGAGATGCCGAAGAAAAAGCAATATCTCCAATTGAGAATCATCATCACCGTTATCAGTTCCTACCCTTTGGTTTCAGCTTGCTTCCTCACCACGGGTAAGCTTGTTTAAGCAGAAATTTGAGGTTAATACATTTACAACGAAGTTCCTTGAAACAAATATGCTTGCTTTGATCAGCCATTTTCCTCGAACATGTAAAACTCACGGATGTGCAAAAAGTTGTAACAGCTAATTAAAAAAAAAAAAAAAAAAAAGAAGGAAGAGGAGTGTATTATTTGGTCAAAATAATAGAGCAAAATTTTAGCTTTGAAATTGATCTTATGTTCTAATTATTTTAGCTTGAAATAGAAGCAATTGCTAAATTCCGATTTTAATTTTTGAAATTGATATTCCTTGCCGTGCTCTTCCTTTCCCTTTCTTTGTTTCATGGACACCATCATTCTTCTGGGATGTTCAATCTCTCTATTGTGATTGTTGTATTTATGACTTTTATTTAATGGATATATTATAATTGATTCATTTTTTTTTTTGTCTTTTCTTGTATTGTCTAATCGTAGGCGCATGATATTAAACTGAACCCGAGCGATTTTACAAACAATACATTGTCGAGTAAAGCAAGTGTGTGCGAGTAGGGTGGGAGGTGAGATTGATTTATGCGAAGGCTCAAACTTTTTCGTCTCCATTCAAACTAAATGGTAAAGTTGGATTACAGCAGGCGCATGATATTAAACTGAGCCCGAGCGATTTTACAAACAATACATTGTCGAGTAAAGCAAGTGTGTGCGAGTAGGGTGGGAGGTGAGATTGATTTATGCGAAGGCTCAAACTTTTTCGTCTCCATTCAAACTAAATGGTAAAGTTGGATTACAGTTATTTGAAAATTTACACACCAAAGCAATTTTTAAATGTATATATATTTTATAGGATTTTCTGAAGGAAGATAACACATGTAGAGGTATGATTAAAACTTAAATATTTTAAAATCCTACTAATTAACTTGGTTAAACAAATGTTGAGTTGGTAGCGCAACCTCTTTGAAGGTCATAAGTCCCCTCAGGTCACAAGTAAAAATCCCCCTCTGGCCAGTTTACCAGTAGGAAGGGCGGTTTTCGAATAGTTAGATACACACACACACAGATATATATATATATATATTTATATATATATATATATAAGATAAAAATACAGATATGTTTGTATGGGTGGGCCTAAGCACCCAACCCACACGGTACAACACACAAAAAAAATATAAAAGATGAGTACATATAGAAATAAAAAGAAACCCAAAATCCACCCGGGTACAACACTTTTTCTGATAACATCCTTAGAAGGGTGTCCCCACGGAAATTTTCCAATAAGAGCAAACTTGAATTTTTCCGTCAGAGTAGAAATTTCTGATTCAGAGAAAAAGATTGCTGCTTTCCACTTTTCCTATTTCCCTTCTTAATAAAAGAACAGTTATCTGTACCCTCACGAGATTCCTTATAACTTGAGGGGAATCCCACTGCGGACTCCACCTGAGGGTTACCCACCATGTGGGCAAATGAGACTTTGTCCGACTCAACCAAACAAGGAGGAGCCATCAGAGCAAGGAGAGCTGTCGGCGTTAAACTACAGCGAAGTTGCTACGGCAGGAAAAATAGTGATTTGGCTGACGAGCGGCTCTGTCGCAGACGCCAGAGGCAGAGCCGAGCACGACGGGACGCCGGATCGAGTGGCTATGTCAGAAGCAAACTCGTCGAGCAGACGTGAAGGCGTAGTCGTTGAGACACAGACGAACGCCGACGAGCGCGAGCTGACGAAGACAAGCGCGAGACGACGAAGGAGAAAGGAGCGGAAGCTTCGAGCGACAGAATCAATGGCGATCGCCCTCGCCATTCGAAACATTCGAAACCCTAGGGTTTCACCCGATGGAGATTCCCGGAGTTGAAATTGTACGCTCACAGTCTCTAGCCCGATGACGTATGTTTGCTCGCCTTACCCGAAGACGACAACATCTGTCTGCTCGCACGTCGTCTCCTATCCGATGACGTGCCCGCCTGCTCGCATTCGCCTCTCCCGCCTGACTACGACGTCTTCGTCTCGCATTTTGATGTGTTTAAAAGTCGACGCCTGTCTGCTCGCATTCGCCTCGCAGAATTTGACCGTGGTCATCTTGCCTGGTGAAAATGGCCTCGACTCTCCAATCTTATGCCACTGCCCTTGCCGACAACATTCCTAATCCTACTTGTGCCCCTATTTCAAGTTCAGAGTCTGGTTTTGGTATCGGTAATTCTTGCATCGTTTTACAATCCTTCCACGAACTCTTGAGGTGGTGGTGATCACACTTTCATTAAAAAGCTTGGTAAAAAAAATGGAAAACCTACTCTTTTTCTCTTTGAGGTTGAAACCAGTCCTCTTGCGTCTTCTTGGCGTTTTGCTCTGGTGAGAAAATTCTTTATGACCACCCTAAACTTGAGATCATTCAGAAAGATTTTGATGCTATGAAGTTATCTAGTAGTTGAAATATTGGCTTACTTGATGACCGACATATATTTATTCAGTTATCTCATGATGCGAATTACACTCGTATACTTTCTCGAAAGGTAATCATGATTGACAATCGTTTTATGAAATCCTGAAGTAGATTGTCGGCTTACTTTGTCCCCTATCATTTCTGTTTGGATAAAGTTTCTGGGTTAAAACTACACCTGTTCAATTTCAAAATTCTCTACTCCTTAGTAACTGCTTAAGGTAAGTCTCTGAAGGATGATAGTTTTACGCTTGCTGTTACCAGACCCTCAGTAGCTTGTGTGTTAATTGAGAGAGATATCACCCAACCAGCTCCTGATGAGGTATGGATTGGATTCACTCGCAATGGGTATTGGAAAAATGTTGAAATAAAACCACACCCTCTTTATTGCTTTCATTGTAGTATGTTTGACCACAGTTCTACTATTTACTGTCGCTTGCATCCTCATTTAAGGCTGAATATTGTTAAATATAAGCAAAATTTCTAAAAATCTATTCATACTGAATTGGGGGTGGACGTCTTGCCACCTACTATCCCTGTTGAGGAGGTGCAACCCGACCCTCTTTCCAACACCGCATATTCCTCTGCTCATCTGACTGACGCTGCTCCTGATAGGAAATCTTCTGATGACCCTCCTATTCAAACCTTTGCCTTCTCAGATGAAGAACATCATACCCAAGCCGTTCTACCCCTGGATGCTCCTGCTTTTGAACACTCTTCCAACTGCTGGATTGGAGCATGGTACTCTAGAGTCTCATGAAACATCTCTTCATACTCATGCTACTAGTACTGATCCAAACGTGTCTATACCACTCATTGCTATTGAAGAAGGCTAACTTACATGCCAAGACACACGAGAGGGCTCATTTGATTAAATAAAAGATCAACTGGTACAATGAGAGCGACCTCCCCAATAAAAGGTGGCAGGTATCCATGGGCACCACGTCGCACAACACTTAATCCTGTAGCTGGATTCAAATTGAAAACTCCACTAGACACCTTTGGTCAATGTTGACTCTATTCTTTCTTCAGCCACGTCAGATAACATGACATGAGACCAAACTTTTCTACCACTTTGCGTAGATGCCACATCTTACTACTCCACCCATTGACGATAAAATTGCATACATTTCCATTCACTGTGTAGCGGGTGTAGAAGATATTATTGTGGAACAACTGCAGATCCCATGTGTCCTCAACTAAGTGCCTCTTTTTTATCCGGTGGCAGGTGATACACCTAATCCTGTTCCTTAACTTTCTCCCCATCGCTAACCTCCTCCACGGTGCCTTGCTCGGTAAATAACTGTACACAAAACTTAATGTTTATGCATCTTTTTCAGAGTTATTGCATTTCAATTACCTTGTATTGGTTATTTAATTACATTAATTTATTTGCATGAGGTTTTTTTTTGTTAGTTTCTTAGAGTTGGGGTGATAATTGGGTGATTTTAAGTTAGCAATTACCTTGAGGTGTGGCTATAAATACACCCTCAACCAATGCTCTAAAAACACCTAAAGATTCTATTCCTCCCTTCAATTCCGTTGCTCTCTTTTTATGATTTTCCCTTTGTTGGTTGTGAAGATCAGGTCCCTGCCAAGAACCAGAGGAAAGAGGGTTACTGGACACGCTGGAATCCAAGAAGGTAGTGCTATAAGTGAAGGGAAGATAGAGGCATTCAGGTAGTTGATCAGGAGAAATTCCAGACACGCTGGAATCCAAGCAGGGAGTGCTATAGGTGAAGGGAAGATAGAGGCATTCAGGTAGTTGATCAGGAGAAATTCCATTCTGGAATTCCGTCCCTTGCAATGGACCTGAAAAGTTGTGAAGACGACATAGGATCGGTATATGCAGCTACAATCGAGAACACGTCAAAGAATTCTGTCAAAGCTTGAGAGGAAGTGAAACCTGTTTGCTTCATTCAGATAACCTGAAGTTTACTTCCCTGTGAAGAACAGAAAGATTCCAGACTTGAATTTGATTTATGCAGCGGATGTGAGTTTTCTTCTTGACTAATTCTTGTTGGTTTATCAAAAACAAGCAGCAGCTTTTATTGTAAGTGCATCAGAGCTCTAAAAAGAAGATCAAGAAGAAGCAAGGATGCAAGAGATGCAAGTTGTCGATGGACAAGAATGAGATTAAATAGTAGACTGGTCTACATGATTTTAGCCTTCAGAAGCTGACAGTGAAAACCAGTTCTTTGAGAAAGACTAATGCGTTAAGAGGTATTCAACAAAGCTCACAATATAATTGTATTATGACTAGGAGAGAGCTCTTTGAGAAGTTGTGGATGAAAGAATAACCATCAACATAGACACTTGAAACCTAAATATCTCTAGAATTCTTTCACAAGCCATTTCTATCTCATGGAAAATTTCTATATATTGCAAACGGTTGACTTACGCCATTAAATAAGCATGTAGGCAATTTTAATAGTTTAGTTCTTGGTTTGAAAATCATAGGTGTGAAAATAGATGATGCAGATCAAGCAATAATTCTCTGAAGTTCATCACTAAGTAGGTATGACCATTTATTGATACCATGCTTTTTGAAAAGGATTTCTTGGATATGTTAGAAATAAATGATACACTGAATTCAAAGAAACTCAAATAAATTTTAAATCTAATCATGATAATGTAGTTATGAAGTAGTTGTGAAAGGAAGAGAGCCAAAGCCCAAGAACCAATCAAGATAAACATTACAGGAAAAAAAAAAGAAATGCTTTCTTCATAAAGTTCATTTCAAGAAAAGTTAAGAGTTGCAGAGGATGTTCCAACAGTGGAGGAAGGCTATGATAGTGCTGAGGTTCTATCAATTTTAGATTCTGATATAAGCAAAGAGTAGTTCCGACATTCTAAATGCTCCTACCATATGTGCCCAAATGTGAGTTAGTTTGAGTCTTTCAATGAAAAGGCAAGAGGCATAGTGTATATTGGAAACAAAGTTCAACTCATGAGGGCATGATCAGAGTGCTCGAGAATAGAAGACATGCAATTAGCTAAGAAAAAATTCGATTTCTCTTTGTGAATTAGATAACAATATAAAGTTTCAAATATGATAGTGGGAGCCTAACTATGCAAAAGGCTGCTCTTTGTTCATCACGAAAGGCATGGCATATTACGATTTTTGTTAACAAAATGTGATAGGAAAATCCAATAGGTTGAAGTTTACCACTTGAAAGCAAAAATCTAAAGAAATTTTAGATTATGTGCATTCATATTTTTGGAGTTTTACAAGAAATTAATTTCATGGCCCAACAAGGTACATTTCATCTTTATTGTTAACTTCAAAAAAATTATGGGTTTATTTCTAGAAGAAGAAACATAAAGTTTTTAAGAAACTCATAGAATGGAAGTTTTTGGTTGAGACTCAAATAGGAAAAAAGGTCAAGCAGCTATGAATTGAAAATGATTTTACACTTTGCTTTCGTCAATTCAAGAAATATTGCACGGAGCTTGGAGTAGCACAACATCCCAAGAGAGGATGACTCAACAAAATAGGCAAACCAAATTCTACAACATAACCATTCTCAAAAGGGTAAGACTGTTTTTGAACAATGCAGGTCAACCAGAGACATTTTGGGTGGAAGCAAATAACAAAACTATCTATCAAATTAATAGATATCCTTCAACGACTAATGAGTTCAAGACCTCATAGAAAAAGTGGTGTGGATAACCACGAGACTGCAAAAGCTAAAGCTATTTGGTTTCATTACAAATATTGGTATAATAGGCAAGACAAGTTAAAATCGAGGCCTTCAAAATGCCGCTTAATTGGACACCTTGAGAATGTAAGAGGATAAATATTGTGGTGTTTGGAACCAGGTTATGTTAGATGTTTGATAAGCAAATATGCTAATGTCAATGAACAATAAATAATGAATTAAGAAATAAAACGAAGAAACAAAGAAAAAATGTGATGCCAATGAGCAATGAATAATGAATTAATATATAAATACTTTGAAACAAAAAAAAAAAAAAATCATGATGCAAGTAAAAAATTACAACTAGTGGTAGAGCAGTTCACGGAATTCTTGAAGGCAAGAATCAAGAATCAACAAAAGCAAACCCAGAGAGCCTAGACAAGAAACCAATAAAAAAATATAATAAACATTTGATTTAGTAAGGGAAATTCTTGGGCATGTGGTTCATGCACCACAATGCCATGCACAAGTAGGTATCATTTCTTATACATTCTTGGCAAATTTTATCAGGAGATGAACCAATTTCCTATAAAAAAAAGCCATTAAAAGTGAAAAAAAAAGGAAAAAAAAAAAAAAGACGGCAAGAGAAACAATAACTGAATAGATTATCTTACTCAAGAAAAATAATGATCAGGAGTTGGTAGAAAAATCAATAAACAAGAAGATAGTAAATTTCAAATGGTTGCTTAAGGACTGAATTTCTGGAGTAAAAGAGCTAAGATATAAAGCTAGGCCTGTTGTAAGGGATTTTACATAAGAAAAAAATGTAACATATGCTGAAATTTTCTCTGCAATGTTAAGGCATAAAATCTAAAGAAAAATTTCATCCCATGGTTGTACATTTTGACATGTGCCATGAGCAAATAAATGTCAAATCATTATCTTGCATGGAGAATCAAAAGAAACAGCTTACATAAATATGCCTAAAAGCTTCGCAAAAATTTGAATTGAAAATCAAGTACGTTCATTGAAATATAAAAAGTTTTGCTATAAAAATTGGTTTAAATGTAAAAGCTTAGAAAACTGGAAAAAATATAAGGTGACCTGTAGAGAGTTTAAGTGAATAATTCATGATGCTAAAAATTCTAGTGATTTTTATAAAAGATTAGATACTAAAGAGTGACAAATATATGTAAACTAGCTAAAAAAAAGGAAAAAAATGGTTAAGATTTAGCTCGAGTAAAGTGTATTAAAAATGAAAATCAAAAAGTACTTTTTGAGGAAGATATTCAACATAATTTGGTGAGCTATTTTTTTAAACTTTTCAATGAAGTTTTTGAAAATACGACCGACTTAGTGATCTTAATATCGTTAATAATAATAAAATATTTTGTTTTAGTATCACATTAGTAAAAAAAAAAGTTGATGAGGCTTTCAATAAAAGCAAGGGTGGAAAATCAGTAGGACCTGATATCCCAATTGAAGTGTGAAAATATCTAAGAAGTTTAGGAGTTTCTTGGCTTACTTAACTCTTTAATATTATTTTAAAAATTAAAAAAGTTGTCTAATGAGTGGAGGAAGAGTATTTTTGGTCTTTATGTTTAAGAAGAATGCACAAGAGTGCAAATTATAGAGGAATTAAACTGAGGTGTCATACTTTAAAATTATGGGAGAGGGTAGGTTAAGACGTGTTCCAAAAATTTCTCATAATCAGTTTGGACTTATTCCGGACAGATCTACTATGAAAGCTATACATTTATTGAGAAGATTGATGGAGAAGTACAAGGAGAATAAGAGGATCAACATATGATTTTTATTGATTTAGAAAAAGTTAACGATAAGGTTCCGAGAGAAGTTTTTTGGAGAGTTCTAGAGAAGAAAGGTGTTGGTATTACTTATATTCAAGTCATTAAAGATATGTACACTATAGTTGTTATTTTATTCGAACATAAGGAGGACTGGCAAAATATTTTTTTATTTCAATTGGATTACATCAGGGATCGGCTTTAAGTCTTTATCTTTTTGCTTTAGTTATGGATACTCTTACTAGACATATATAGGAGGATGTACCTTGGTGTATGTTTTTTGTTGATGATATCCTTCTAGTGGATAAGACTAGAGAGAAATTTTAGAAAAAAACTTGAATTATGGATGTCTGCTTTGGAGTTTAAAAGCCTTCGTTTGAAGAGAACTAAAATTGAATACAAGGAATGTAATTTTAGTAGTAGTAGCTACAGTGACAGAGTTGTAACTATGGGTGATCAAATTATTAAAAGGCATGAACACATTAGATATCACTGGTCTATTGTTTAAAGTGATGGTGATATAGATGGGGATGTTATTAGGAGAATTCAACTATTCAACTGGATCGGTTGAAGTGGAGGAATGCATCGGGCCTATTGTGAGATAGAAAAGTACCTCTTAGCCTGAAAGGAAATTTTTATAAGATGGTGTAATACCTGCAATGCTCTATGGCGCGGAATGTTGACCTTTAAAAGAGAAGCATACAACAAAGTTAAGTGTTGCTGAGATGAGAATGCATAGGTGGATGGGTGGCTTGAAACATTAGAGACAAAATGCGAAATGAATATATCCGTGATAGGGTTAGTGCAGCCCCAGTAGTGCAGCTCCAGTGGCAGATAAGATTAGAGAAAGCCGTCTTAGATGGCTTGATCACCTTAAACGTCGACCATATGATGATCCAGTTAGGAGAGTATATGTTTTGGATTCAAATTATGTTAAGGCAGGGGTAGACCTAAAAAGACTTGGGCATATAGTATACAAAAATAAACTTAATTTATTAAAATTAAATGAAAAAATGACACTCAATAGGAAACGATGGAGAAAAATGATTCATGTAACCGACCTCGTTTAGTGGGATAAAAGCTTGTTATTATTGTTGTTAAGCGATGGAGAAAAATGATTCATGTAACCGACCTTGTTTAGTGGGATAAAAGCTTGTTATTATTGTTGTTATTGAAAATATTTGAAGAGCAGATGCGAAAAATAGGCTTCAATCTTAGCTTTTATGATTCTTTGTGTATATCCGAAATCTAATGTGGTTAATAGCAGAATTAGCTTTTATGATTTTTTTGCATTCTAAAATATATCGTCTTAAGGTGCTTATCAGTTCTTATAATTTAGTTATATGAATAATTATAAACTATGTACAAGCAGGCACAATAACCAGTTCATAAATCAAGCATCTAAACAATGATCATCCACCCAAAATTGTTCACAAGATTCACATTCAAAATTACTGCAGAGAATTCGTAATTTCGAAAGGAATGTCTGCAGAAAAACTTCTAAGGTTATTGATTTAAGGAAATACTGAGGTTCAACTGAATAATTGGCAATTACCGTCAGCGATGTATCCTTTCCAGAAGCATGAAGCTTGTACACAATACCATATTGAAAGATAAAAAATCTTAAGCTCAGTATAGTTTCTAGTATTCTTCCACGCAGTGTGCGAATATGTGCCTGCATTCAACACAACAAAAAATCCAAATTAAAATGCGATAAACCTGGACAATAAAATTGACAACTCCAAACATTAAATGGAGGAAACTGCCAAACAAATGGGAATGATGGAGAGGAAAAAAGAAAGAACTCTACAAATTTAATACAAAGCGATTAGCCTATACAACTTAGAACATAGTAATACTAATTTGATCTCATAAATAATCAAATTTAAATCATAATCAATCAATCAATTATTAATACACGAGTTTTTTATATAAGCTTACAAACACAAAGACAAAAACAGCCTAAATTTTAAAAGCACATCCAACTGTATCTGTTTAAATAATCCAAAATCTAACTCAGAAACATCATCATATGAAAGGAGACAAAAATGCTTTCCAAAAATGTAGCTCATATCATGAAAGTTACAAAATCCATCCTACATAAGAGTTACAATTAAAAATAGACTTAAATCTAAACTTCTACTGCCATAACAGCGTAGCAACTTACCATGAAGAAACTCACTCAAGATAAAAAATTATGTTATCTCTTTTATAATATCACTTTTAAAACTTGAAATTTGGGAAGATGATTAATAAGGCAAAGATATGTTCTAAAGTATGATCCTCAACATAAAATACATAACATATAAGCTCAAGCAACCAGTTATGTATCCACCAAAATCTTCACTTCAAATTCCAAAATTCAAATAATAATATTGATATCTATCTATGACACTATTGCTTAAAACATCCAAACTCAAAAGGTTTTAAATGTGAAATTTGTCATTTAATAAAACACAATAATAGTCCCATGCTAGTAAAATCTACAGATCCCTTTTAATCTTTTGCTTTGGTCCATAAGAGTATCAAGAATAAGAAAATCCCTTTAAACTAGGTGGTTATTTACTTTCTCAATAATCATACCAGTCTCACTAGGATTTCTTTTTGAAAGAAAAATCTGATGTGGGATAAATTTTATACATTTTTACACCATAATCCACACTTAATTTCAATAAAAAAATTTAAGTCCCAAATAATTACAATGCTGAGTACTTCAAACCAAGCTTAGAAAATTATCTCCTATATCAAATAATTATCAATTAATGCTTTTGTATCAACACCCTCAGTAAAATAAGGTTGGCGAAAGAAAAAATGAAAAATTTATGAATGTGACTAGACCATTAATATTCTACACAAATATTGTGAAATATCTAAAGAGAAGCTGGCCTGACAGCTAGATATCTCATTAACATAATGTCCCCAAGAGTGCTTTAGGGCATGTTTGGGGCAGCTTATAAGTGCGGGCGGCGTTTTGAAAACGCCGCCTCACCATTTGGAAAACAGGTTTCGACAGCTTATCAGAAAACACGGTTGAGTTTTTACACTAAACACAGGCCGCGGGTCAAACCCCGCGGGCCACTTGCGGACCGCATTTAGGATAGGCTGCTTATCTGGTTAAGCAGAAGCTATCCGAAATGCATCCTTAATTTCAAACCCACGTTTACATCAATCTCCATTTATTTCCCAATACCAAGATTATTTCTTATATTGGCTTAAATATTTTGGGTGTTTATTTTTATCCGCATTCATTCTTAGCACTCTGGCAAATTAGACAATAGATCTATCAAAGATAACTTAATTGAACACTTCAAAAATCAAAATAGTCATGAAAAATAATCCTCAATCACTTAAAAATTTATAATTCCATACAAATAACCTTCCTAAAACAACTAGCTACCAGTAGATGCCTCATTGGCATCTATCGATTCCATGCCTAAGTTCATTTTCTAAAGTTAAAACTCTTTTATCATTACTAATTAGACTATTAGTGCTATTTTCTTTAAATTGATCAATAGGGCAAGATACTTGTCAAACGTATTTAAAACTTATTCTAGAGTGCTATGCTTGCAAACAGTAATGATGCAGTATGCGAATGAAGATGGAAAAGTAAAAGATATTTAAAAGATTCAGAATAAATGCAGAATTAAGCGGAAATAATTTTATTGAAATGAGAGGGGGTAAAAAGAACCCTTACATGAATCCTAAAATATGAAAGACAATAAAAAAGAAGAAATATAAAAAAAAGATATATCACCTAATATTTCAAATTATATTAATTATTTAGACATAAAAGAAACAACATAAAATAAGAAAGCCTAAAATAGGAAAAGAAATAAATCTAATCAAAAAAATAAATCTAAATTAGGAAAGAAAATAAAGTTATAATAGGAGATAAATCTAATCCTCATAACTTCTAATATGAATAAATTATTCCCTAATATAACTTTGAACATTCTCCCTTATCTTGAAACATAGTTGAAAACCATGTTCAACTTGGATTTGAAATTCAAATAATAGGTAAGGGAGATCTTGTGAAGTAGAACTTGACTCTTCGTCCCGTACTTGGATTGTCTTAGACTGTAGTTCCTGCAATGTTTGAATGTAGGCGGAAGACTTCTACAGGCGATACTGCAGAGAAAAAAGTTGACTCTAGTTGTGGTTTTCTTTAACTGCAGTTTCTGCAGTGTTTGTAGGTAGGTAGATAGATGTAGGAGAGATTACAGAGAAGTGGACAACCTGCAGGAAAAACAAACTTCTAGTTGACTCTGGTTGTCTTTGACTGCAGTTCCTGTAATTTCTGTAGGTAGGCAGAAGACTTCTATAGGTAATGCTGTAAGGAAGTAGACATCCAATAGAAAAAGCTGCAGGGTATCGCTTGTTGGAAAAAGAAAAAGCTCCAGAGAAGGGTGAGGGTCTGTTGTAGGAAAGATTCTGGAGGAGTGCCTGATGCAGAAAAAAGTTTCTGAGGGCCTGATTCAAGAAAGGCTCCAGAGGTCTGCTGCAAGGAAAAACCTCCAGAGAAAGAGGCTCTACACCGAAGAGGGTAGGCAACACGATACTTCCAGCTGCAAAGAGTTCTGGTGGCAGAGAAGGATCTACATGGAGTTTTTTGGGCAGTAGGAAAGATACAATGGAGCCCTCACCAACATACAATGTAGAAAGGCACGCTTCAAAGACATAAGATCAAATATATGATCAATGCGAGTGAACACCTCTGCAACGCTAGTGGAGTTAGATATCATGCAAACCGCCCTCTACAATTTGGCAAGGTCGCCAACAGGAACAACAGTAGGCGACAGGTAATTAATGCCACACTTAAAGCCAGTCGGGTGTCAGTCAACAAACTGGATGGTGCACTTGGTCTTAATGGTGGTTCAAACAATAGGTAAGGGAGATCTTGTGAAGTAGAACTTAACTCTTCGTCCCGTACTTCGATTGTCTTAGACTGTAGTTCCTGCAATGTCTGAATATAGGCGGAAGACTTCTACAGGCGATACTGTAGAGAAAAAGTTGACTCTAGTTGTGGTTTTCTTTAACTGCAGTTTCTGCAGTGTTTGTAGGTAGGTAGATAGATGTAGGAGAGATTACAGAGAAGTGGACAACCTGCAGGAAAAACAGACTTCTAGTTGACTCTCGTTGTCTTTGACTGCAGTTCCTGTAATTTCTATAGGTAGGCAGAAGACTCCTATAGGTAATGCTGTAAGGAAGTAGACATCCAATAGAAAAAGCTGCAGGGTATCGCTTGTTGGAAAAAGAAAAAGCTCCAGAGAAGGGTGAGGGTCTGTTGTAGGAAAGATTCTGGAGGAGTGCCTGATGCAGAAAAAAGTTTCTGAGGGCCTGATTCAAGAAAGGCTCCAGAGGTCTGCTGCAAGGAAAAACCTCCAGAGAAAGAGGCTCTACACCGAAGAGGGTAGGCAACACGATACTTCCAGCTGCAAAGAGTTCTGGTGGCAGAGAAGGATCTACATGGAGTTTTTTGGGCAGTAGGAAAGATACAATGGAGCCCTCACCAACATACAATGTAGAAAGGCACGCTTCAAAGACATAAGATCAAATATATGATCAATGCGAGTGAACACCTCTGCAACGCTAGTGGAGTTAGATATCATGCAAACCGCCCTCTACAATTTGGCAAGGTCGCCAACAGGAACAACAGTAGGCGACAGGTAATTAATGCCACACTTAAAGCCAGTCGGGTGTCAGTCAACAAACTGGATGGTGCACTTGGTCTTAATGGTGGCAACAACAACATTCACATCCTTGGGCACCTAATCTCATCAATACATTTGACAGCAAGCCATGTACTTGCCATGAAGGGGATCACACTTGGCCATTAAGGAGGATGGTAAAGGCACTGTTGGTGATTTCAGCAACAGAGAGTAGCTCGTGATAGGCTTTCTCAGCTAAAATAACATGAGCGTAGGATGAATGCATGAAATGGATCCATGGGTATGAAACAAGGACAGTCTGGAACTCAGTCACATCGATGTTCAATGCGTCATCAAAACTAAGAGATGCAGTGAGGGATGAATCACCTGGAAAACCAGCCAATTAAGGTTGGTGTATGTAGGGCGCTCAATGTCAAGAGAACACCTGCAGATGTCATAGATAGCTTCATTATCTAGGAGGATGACAACATCAATGTGCTCTAAAAGGGAGTGTGTGGAGAAAATATTGTAAGGCTCAACAGCTGATGTGGACACTTGACGCGTTGTGTAAATAGTAACATCAAGCTTTGATTTTTAATCATAATCAACAAATAGTCTCTCAAGGAGAAGGGAACTAAGGCCAAAACCAATCCGTCCAATTGCAGGAAAAAAGGGAAGCTGGACTGCTGGAAACCAAGAAGCCGGTCTGCTGGAAAATTGGACAACTGCAGGAAATCAGAGAGGCCAGACTGTCAGAAACCAGAAAGTTGGATAGTTGTGGAGAACAAGCGCCAAAAAAACTGTGGGAAGTTGTGTTCCTTTTACGGGAGTTTTAAAATCTAGATGTTTGAGTATTTTGAGAATATGTGGAAACCGATTCAAGATATCTATAACAAAACTTAGAACATAAGCGCACAAAACAAGAAAACACCATATTTAACTTGGAAACACACAAACAAGAGAAAACCATGGAGTCAGACCACACAAAGTAATTCATTAAAAAGAAAACGAGAATTGTAAAAAATAC